GATGTCGAAGTAACCATTCCTTCCCCAGTCTTTGCATGTAACCTCTCTCACTAGGGTTACTTGAGTAGTAGCATTCCAACAGATCCACGTTTTCATCTCTCGCCCATTTCCGTCTTGTTCCAGTAGCCCATTTGTCATCAAGGTGCTCTGGTTCCCCAACACCTGACGCAGACCTTGTTTGGCCGGGCGACGTCTGAGCCGGCATGTTATGCAACTTAGTATCTCTCATGGTATGAGGTAGGCAGTAGCTTGAAGGGTCTTGCCTAAGGACCCAGACTGGATTCGAACCCTGCCCTCTCGGGTGATATACTGATGCCTTATGTATTGAGCTATCCAGTCAGCTATATATATATATATATATATATATATATATATATATATATATATATATATATATATATATATATATATTTTTTTTTTTTTTTTTTTTACTTTTTAATATTGTTTTATTACAGCCTTTTATATTGCAACTTTGGTTAAACATTTTGATATTCTTCCACACGCCTCACAATATTTTGATTTGAAAAGAAATTTGCCTATTCCTTCATATGGAGCTACTGTAACAGGCTTTCTCATAGACCTTTTTACCTCTGGAGTCCCACTGGGCACAACGGCAGGAAAAGGAAAATGATCTTGTTTTTCCAAGACTACCTTCATATGATTGGCCACAATGTGAAACGGTGAGTCAATTAATATGTTTGGTGTTAAAGGATTTTTTTATAATCTCAAACTGATGCAGAGAATACTCAGTTTTTTAAAGTTCCAATTTGTGGCTGAAGTGCTCTTTGCCCTCTGGGTGATTGGATGAAGCTCTGGAAACGCAACACATTCCCAGAGCTTGCTATGAATGTGCAAAACTAGCTGACAATCAGACCTTAGGGACTAATGAAAGCTTTTTCTGAGGCATTGGTCTAAGCACTGTTTTAGTTGAAGAACAGCAAAGTGATGTGACTAAGAGGAGAATGTCTGCCAAAATTGTTGGGCGCACTTTAATTATGGAGAGGGATTGTACAACCCGCCTGACTGGTCTGACATTATTCAAAAGTAATTAGTTGCTTGTTATTTTAATTATGGATGAAAGGACACAAGAACAGAGTTAATCCAGAAATGGCATGGCTGCATTGCTACACAAAGACAGTAAAAAGAATGTAGTGGGGATTTTATTCATTCATAATTTAATCACAAGATGGAAAACAACCTTCCTTTACTACCAAAGTCCAACTTTAAGTTTTCATTTAAATGAAAATAATTTCAATCTGATGCTGACCTATTCAAATAATATCTCCTAACATTTTTTAAACAATTTATCTAAAAATTATCCTGTGGAAATATGTCCATTTATTTAATGGTGTTTATGGCAATAATCAACTCTGAAACATTTTTAAGGATTTGATATAAGCTTTAGAGTTCAGAATGTTTTCAATGTTTCTCTTTCTTAGAAGAGCTACAAAATATTTATTTTACAAATAAAATTGGTGAGACCTTTAATCCAGCTAAGAAAATCTGGATCTTAAAAGAATGAATGTACATAAAACTCAGTGAATTCAGTTCCAAGTACTTCAGTGGTACAATGTCAAATAGGTTAACTTAAGCAACATGCATGTCTAACAAAAGGTGTTCACAAATTAAAGTTTTCAATCCTGTTTTAATCTTCCTTTATATAGCATTTTATTCAAGCAAAATAAACCTAGGTTTTGCTTACACAAATGAAAATGTGCCCTTATACACTGTGGTTTATATTTTTCATGGAGTTAAGCTTTTAGAAAGCAGAGGCAGTAGTGGGTAGAGAATGACAGTCCCCTGGGGACCCTCACCACATTTCAGCAGAGAGCTCTATGACTACAGATTAGGTCCAATTGCTCTTCTTTTCCATTGACAGAGGAATCTTGGCCTTCTTCGTGCCCAAAACTTGTCTCCTTCGATTCTTTCTTTTTCTCTTTTTTAGTCATTGCTTTGTCCATACATTCATCTGTCTGAGCTAACCTTTCCATTTAGTGATTTTCTGCTGCAATATATTTTGTCTACAATGTGTGGGAACTTGCATCAATTTGAAGGATTATTCTTTTGTGACTTGTTGCCTGAATTAACAATGATTTCCATAATTGATATGCAGAGAGACTCCTCCCTTGATGCCAGTCTTGGAAAACTCAGCGTCTCAGATGCCATGTTTTTCCAGGTTGTACTAACCATACACAAGAGACATTGTGTGCTTGTCCTACTTTCTGGCAGCTTGCAAAAGTTTATTACAGTTGCCCTCACTCACCTTACCTTCACCCGCTTTTCAATTTGATCTCCCAGTATAATTTCCATCGTCAAAAAATAAATCCCCTTCATTTTTGCACACTTACTTCTAACACATCCAATAACAAAAATGAGGACAAACTCATTTTTGTACATTTTGCTGTTTCGGAACTTCTAAAAAATTTGGAGTAATATTAGAAGCTTCCCCTGTGCAATGTTAGTTTGTCAAAAAATTTGACACTTTCCTTTTTAGTAGCTATATGTTGAATTGGTTTACATTACATGTTGTGAATTTACATAAAATGAAATGGTTCAGGAATAAATGTTTTATAGATGCTAAATTATGACTAAAAAATGGTATGAAACCTGGTCATGCCAGGTTGCATATCTGGTATGACCAAAGCTGTAGAAAAGTAAGTGTACCACAGTAAGTGCAAAGTTTCTGCACAATGTACTGAGTATGTCTGAGCTGAGTTTTTTCCCCCTTTGGTTTAAGGTTTTTAAAAAATAGTTTTAAAATCAGCAACAAAAGATATTCTGTCATTCTATTTCTGAGTTGTGACTGTTTTTTGAATGTTCAAAATGATTCAAAAGCCAGAAAATGCAAGCTGCCAAGGTTCTGTGCTGTGAAGAGTAACATCCCCCTCTCAAGTCCATGCTGTCAGTCTGCAGAGTGCGATGACCAAAGGAGCTGAAATTCCTAACTATTGCTGAAAGAGAAAAAAAGAAGGCAGCAACGGGGAAAGACGGCGCACACCAGAGCAAGGGCATGTCCTGTATGTCTGAGAGCCAGGCAGCCTTACCAAAGCAGTCTCGTCTCGATTGGGTTGCTAGGTCTTTGTGGGAGGTCAACATGTCTGCCCAACTGCCAGGTCATTCTTCCTGTCTGCATATTTGGCCTTGACGTTCACACAGTGCACATCCCCTGCAAGGTCACCCACTAAAACGGATCTGTTCATCTGTTTGCTTGACCTTCAGATTGCTTCTTAAAATCTAATGGCTGCTGGGTCTCTTCCTTGAGAGGTTTCAATTTGTAATCTGTAGTTTAGTAATAGTACGTAATTTATTGAATATTAGAAATCATCCACAAGTTTTCCTAGTTCGAAAACCTTTTTAAACTTTTTTTCTTTAACGTCATTAAGTGAGAAGACATAACTCCCAAGTGATTAAACTATCAAGATTTTATAATAGCTACAGAAAATACATTTGAACCAGATTGAGAGTTAAGAAAGAAATGAACCTTTTTAAAGTATTCAGAGTTTTTTTTTTAAGTTCAGTAAGTCATGTAATTGTATTTACTTGAACACCAGGTGTAATCTGGGTGAATTTTTTTCTCTTTGCACCTTTTTAAGTAACTTGACTGTATATTTTCCTCTCTAATTCTCAAACATTTAATAATAGGCAGCGGTTGACTTCACTAAAACAAAAGTAGCTGTTCTCCTCAAAACAACATGATATTTTTAAAATTTGCATTCAATGCCTTGTGAAACTATTTCATAATGTTTATACAGTTCTCACAAATTTATTTAATATGTTTTATTGGGATTTTGTGTGATTGGACAACTCAAGGAAGTACATTATTCCTAAGAGGAAGAAAAGGTTATTTTAACAAATGAAATCTAATAAAGGTGCTGATTATCACCACAACATTAGACCATTGGAAATTCAGGTGTTTGCATGAGTCCATGAGATTATACTGTACAACAGAGCAAGGGAAAGTGCTCAACACTGAACAGCATGCAGTTTGGCCTTCAAACATTTTTCGATTTAATCTGAATAACAAAGAAAGAGCTGCTTTGCTGATTCAGCAGTTTTACAATCAGACAGAGACTGTCGTTTATTCCTCCAGGGGCTTCTGCAAATGTTGAAGGGTTACCAGGCAGCTGTGATACTTATGCCTCAAAACACAAAGAGTTCTGGTCACTGTTTGACCCACATTGCCCTCAGTGGAAGAAGAAGTCTTTCTACAGGACCACCTGCCATTGAGGAGGATATTCTCAGAAATCGAAGCCTTCTGTAAAGCCAGACAAGCCCCATTAGGGCATATCAAGCTCCCTGGGAAGCAGAGATCTTTTGTCACACTTCTAAAAGGTTGTCCCACAATAAAAGAGCGGATTTAATGGCTATCCTACAGCCTGGGAAAATACTAAATTGGGTGTTATAAAGCAATTCTGACAAGGGCACAAGAGTCTGTTTGAGTGTCGGCAAAAAAATGACAAATAGAAAAAGATTTTTAAAAATCCTTTTTGAGGAAACTGAGGACCACATAAGCTGACAGGCTATATTATAAACCACATTGTGACCAGCAAATTTATTGTTAATTGGATTTCTTATTTTAGCTATTCAAGGCATAAATCTTATATTTCAAATCCAAGTCAAATCTGAAAACTTTAAAGGAGGACTTATAAATTTATAAGTACTTCATACAACAATCAAGTAGCATCATTTCATATGATAATGCTGATTATCAAAATCAACGTTAAGAAATGTAATTTTGCATCAAAGCCATATCTGACCCCCTGAGCTGCAGAAGGATCAACCTATCTGATGCGCCTTCTCCACTACATCAACACAACACTACAATGTCTGTTGAACATTCACTTAGTTTAAGTTTTTAAAACTTAAAATAATTGAGGAAAACTATAAAAAAAAATTTTATCTGGAGGTATAAGAACGCAACTCAAACTTTAAGTCGTATAATCGCCTTTTAATTCAATTTGAGCATTCTGTGCCAATCAGCATTCCACATCTTGAAATTGTAACATTTGCCCACTTTGCCATCCAACAGACAACAGTGGCAGTTATTTAGGTGTTCCTCTAACTATTACACAAACATGTTAGGATAATTTATCCCTCAAAATTGATATTAAGAATAACTGCAACCACAAAGAATGTTTTCCTTTCTTGTTCCTCCCCTTGTGATTTGCTGTCAATCTGTTCAGGGTCACCCTGCTTCTCACCTCAACATGGTCTGGAAAGGCTCCAGCCAACTCCCTGAACAATAAAAAGGTCAAATGGAAAGTAAATGAATGAATGCAAAAGAAAAGAGAAACTCATTTGGCCTTAAACTACCTGAGGGAGTTTCGTTGATGTGACGAAAGACAAATGCGTTGCAGTAAAGATTAAAATGTGCTCTCTCTCTCAGTATGCACCGGCGGGACCAGAGCTCGTCATTACCACAAACTCTCAGAAGGAACAGAAGACAAGACAAAGAGATAAAAGGGAAAGCAGTGTAACACTTCAATGACTTTTACATCATTTCAACTTGCTCTGGGGAAAGCAGGAAGCCTTTAATAAAGAAGCAATGCAGCAGTAAAAAGTCTTCATATTCACTGAACATTTCTATATGAAATAGCAGTTAAGAGTAATTAGCACACCTTGCAATGTAAATTTGGCTTGTTTTAACTTTAATTTTTATGCAGTTTGAGTGTGTATTCAGAGTAGCTGACAGTCTTTTTCACAATGCTTTCAAATGGACTACTAGGTACGCAACAATGAAACACAATCCCAGATCTTTCAAAATTATTTGAAATGTGTAAATGAAGGACGGGGATTGGAGCAAGAAGTGCACTGAGGACAGAGGTAAATGAGTTAGGAAGGTGATTTGCAGGATGGAGAAGCAGGATGCAGATCTGTTATCTGGACACGTCAAGAGAGTCCAAAGGATGGTAAGTCGCTTGGCAGAGTATGTGGTTGGAAGGGAGAGGTGACGTCTGGACATAACTGTTTCTCTCTCAGGTAGACTTGAGGTAGAGAGTAGACAGACAGGAGGCTGAAGGTTTTCACTGGTGAGGGGCCAGAGGACCAGTGAAGAGGCAGCGGGAGATGGATCGGCAAGCTGCAAATTTGGCAGCACAGTGAGGTAAAAAGTGCATCATCAGATTATTAGGCCTCTGCTCTAACCAATAAGGCAAGAACAGAGTTTGTTCTTTGGGGTTATAATTGTGTTGTATTTTATACCATTTATTCATTTATTTTTTAATATTTTTTGTTTTATATCGAAGTGTAAAATAAAGTGTTCAATTGACAGAGTTTATTAAAAGTGGTTCTTGGCATTTTGTTGCATCTAACAGAGCTGTATTTAGCCTTGTGTGGTGTAATCTACAGCCCACAACCAAGAATGTTTCACACGCTGTGGAACAATATTAGATTATTTATGACCTTTCTCTAACACACTTAACTGTGGAAGGGTCAGAAAAGAAAAAGAGTGAAGTCCCTTACAAGTTTTTGTCTCTCCATAAGCAGATCTTATGTTCTTCTGTTGTAGGTGTCCTAAAGCAAGACATCACTTGTGATTTATTTGGTGATTTTAAGCCCATATGTGTGCCTAGTATTTCCCTGCCCCCCTTGAGATAGTTCTGTGTCACACTGGCAGCTCTGACCATATTCTTTCCTATCTCAAATGTCAGAATATCACCAGAAAGGTGATTTTGGCCGATACCAATTTTTTTGTCTAAAATGTTCTCAATATAGCAAGAAAGTTGCTAAGTTGACAACAGTGGGATAACTACTGTTAATTGTAAACGTGCAGACATAACTTGGCGGACCGTCTGTCAATCAAACCTTTCTCACCTGAGAACAAAAGAGAACAGGTTGATTCTTAAGACCTTTGCCAAGCTAGATAAGATCGGTGAATAAGACCGGCTTCACATGTAAAACATTAGCTGATCACCCAAAATTTAAAAAAAATCAGCACAGATAAGTCAGTGTAGCGATTCTCTTACATTTAATACGAACATATGGTGGGCTCCTGGTGGACTTCCCTAGCCCCCTTAACACAGGGCCTTGTGGGTTTTCTGAGGGAAACCTTGTAGAATCAAAGCATTTTCACAACTTTGTGGTATGCAATTGTCTCTGTGACTTTAATCCAATATGATTATTATATCAAAATTACCAAAAGACAATATTCGTAACATTTTTTATGGCCTACGTGAAAATTTTGCTTTTTATAATGATGGGGTAAATCGAGGAAAACTCATCAAATTTTAAGTTGAAAAGAATATTTAGCTTTTATTAATTATTATTATTGTTTTTAACCTGTCTCGGGTTATTATGACCTGAGGGCCATAGGAAGGTTGAAACAAGAGTCATAGTTATGCAATTTCCTGTCTAGCTGTTGCATAAAGTGTCTCATTTTCCCACTCACTGGGTGCAGCTGAGCTTCAGTAAGCAGGTGCTGAAGAGCACAAATGGGGACAAATAACCCAACATAAAGCAAGTAGGTTAAAAAATACCCTGAAGGTAACCTAAAATGCTCTGGCTGGTTTGTCAATGCATAAAGAATGTTGTTCACAGATCTAAAGCCATAAATGCTAATCTCATTTAGACAGACAGGTTACTGGTTTCAAATGATAAAAACTCAGTTTCAAAAAGACTATTGTTGCATAGTATAATTTGATTTGTCTTAGCTATTAAAGCAGTAGAAACAGTTATTCTGCTATATGTAAACCTCATCAGTATAGGTTAATTATTCTGCATGCCAAAAATCCTAAGTATGAACGCACACACTACATTGGAATAAAATTTCAGCATCAACTTCCAGGAGTATGAGGTTTTGGATGAGTTGAAACAGTTTAGCAAGTTTAGCAAGTGTGCTCAATCAACCTTTCAGTGCATTTTGGTATTCATAATTTTCAGTCTCTCATAATATGGGCTGTATTATTCATTTTGCTTGTTTCAGGCAACATAAATATGAGCTCTAGATTAAAGCTTATTCATTGTGCATGACAAAACATGCTGTAACAGCTGGCTCGTTCAATTTTCATCAAACTTTTCTGCATTCAGCTGCCTCCTATTTACTTTATTTCCATGACTACTAAAGCTATATTTTACCATAACTCAGGTGTGTTTTGCTAAGTAGATAAAGAACTGCAGTAGCAGTTTAGGATAAAAAAAGTAGCATGTTTCTTTTGGCATACTTTGACTTTTTTCTGTTTACACTGCATTTCACTTCAAAGCAAAAAGCAAACAGGCAAACTCCTGCACTAATGTTATTCAATTAAACACAGTTATGCTTGACATAATATTTTCAAAGCAGGGTAAGGGTTGCTAATATGTGCCATTTTCATAATTCAGGTATCAGGTGCAAAAGCTGCCCGTGAGGTACAGAAAAAGAAAATTGCTTAAGCAATAATGCATCATTTTTAACACCTTTGTTTTTTCCCACATGGATCATTTGTATCAAAGTGAAAGTTATACTGCTTGATAATGTGGGTGCCGAGGGTACAGTGGAAGAAAAATATCAGGAAGCAAATCGAACCAAATCCGATTGAACTCACATTAGCATCTAGAGAAATCTCATCAATCAAAGCTGGCTTCCTGAGCCAACTTCAAAAGGCCACTGAGTGCCAAAGGACTGTGTGGGTTTTTTAAAGTGGTGTAAAAAATTAAATATAAAAATCTTTCTTAAACTATAGTGACCTTTCCTTACTACCTACAATTTAGCCTTTGATTTGACAGCTATTTGAACTCAATGATTGTTCTAATCCCAACATTAGCTCTGACATATTATTCCTCCTAGTTTCAACAAAATGCTGGTAAAATGAAAGGGGAATAAAAAAGATATTTTGACCTTGCAGTATTAATAATAGGTGAAGAGGAGAAAGTGAAATTTTTTTGCAAAACAAAATTGTCGCTTGTCAAAGAAAAATTATTTTATGTAATTTACCTTCTTGAGTCATTATTATGGAATATAAGAATTAATCAAGAGGTTAGATTTGATTGTAGTACACTGAAAGAGGCTCTCGAATTGTTATTTTATTTCACTGTACTACAAGTTTACAGGAAAAGCAACTTGATATTTATATTGCATGAATATTTTTTTCTCAATCTTCTGAATAGATACTTTGTTAAAGCCACGAAGAATTCAGCTTAGATAAATGTACATCAAATACACATTGAAAACAAAACACTTGAACTATTTTTAAGACCCTGATGCAGAATTTAAGTTTGAACACTTTTAGTATGGAAAAGAAATGCAATTAATTTGTATCACATATGAGAAAAAATAGTTTTTCGTAGTACTGTCCTTTCAGTTATGGTGATTTGAATCACCATAACAAATCCTCAATATTTCAGTTAAAACTTCAAATAAAACATTCAACCAATAAAAACAAACAGCTTGTTTCCATGCAGAGCAAATAAAATAAACAAACACACATTCACTGGTTTGGTTTTGTACTCACAAATCCTTCAGAGTCCGAGATTGGAAGAGGATCAGGCTGAGCAAGGTAAGCAGGCAGGTGATGTCAACTTGAACATCGAGATCCTTCATGGCAGCCTCACAAATGGGAACCTGGGGAACTTCTGTAGGTCCAGCAGACCCAAAGGGAAGTTCATGGCCCACTGTACACATTAACAGGTCTTAGTATGACTCACATTTGTCTCATATTGAGCCATTTAACAAGCCTCTAAAGTTAGCATTTTAACATACACCATTGTAATGACTGCTATCTCATGCCAGCATGCTAAAAACTAACTGCTAACTGCACTTAGCATGGTTTTCTTCTACACAGACAAAGGTATTTACTTTCATATGCTTCCTAAAGTCCTTTACAGACAGTAACTCTTCATTCTCCGTTGTAGTGGATAGATTTATTTTGTTTTCGCCCAACAACTTCTCCGCTGTTCGCGCTGCGGCTCGAACGCCAACCGACGTTTCACGCAGGCGCTATTAATCCCGCCCACTTCCATCTGATTGGGCAAAATAAAAGCCTTCTTCCAATGAATGAGATTGACATTTGGCACAAATCAAAATGTAGGTTGTGAACCTGCCACCTTCAACAAACCTATGTGACGTTCAAGGAACATAGTAAAAACGACAAAGTCGTGTTCTAGTCTGCTTAAGATAGATTTTCTTGAACAACAAATATGAACTATTTTCACATATGATAGATTTTTAAATGGTAAAGAAATTTAAAAAATCTGAAAGAACAGATTTGACATATTTTATAAATGTTGACTTTCTTAAGTCATCAAAACCAAAACAACATTCTCAAAGTTTACAGTATGTATGTATCTTAAAATTATTTTAACAGTTGATGAAAGCCATATGGAAAAAAAAAGTCAAAATACATCAAAGCTTTCTATGATGCTCCCAAAAGCACAAAGTGTGTCATCAGCACATTAATTTATTTGCATGAAGGCAAGTGAAAAACCTGTAGACATGCAAGTCTCCACAGTCTGTTCCCACTTCCCACAGCATAATACATACCATACTATTCATATATGCTCAAAAGGTTATTTTGTATGTAAATTTGCTATGATTTTGTTCCACTCTGCTGTTGGTGGGCGTATGATATGTTTTGAACACTTCTCTAGATGAGGATTCATGTATCTCACAGGTAGTAAAAGTAGCAACTATGTGAAGCTTAAAAGTTTTTTTTTTCAGTGGTATATGTGTTCCTACATAGCTGTACAGCAAGCAGTCATTGCATAAAAAGTTTAAGTTGTACAGAGGGCTATTTTAATTAAAAATAATCATTCAGAATCAAAAAATGTCCTAAACAAATGTTACTAAAGGGTCTTGTTTTTCAAGAAGAGAAAATTATTTAATCAAACATTTGCTTGAAAATGTTCAATTTAGAAATTTTTAAAGACATGTTGATTGAATTGGCTTTCTACAAAAAATTCTTGAACCGTCAGCTGATGAAAAGCTTTCATTTATTTTGCTTAATATAATCTCTAATCAAGTTTTAAAAATAATAAAGGAAAAAATGCTTTCAGTTTAAAAATTCTGGATTATTCTAATTATTAAGAAAAACACTGGTGGGATCCAGTGTTTTCCTTCATTAATTTTGTTGGCATTATGCATGAAAATTATACATTTTTAATTTTTACTTTTAAAATAAAGAATGGTAATTTCATGGTATGTCGTGTCTTCAGATGATGGGTTGAAGAGTGCTTCAGGACACATTCAAACATATCACCTAAACATTTTCTGTCACATGAAATACCTTGAAATTGATTAAATTTAATTGTTTAAATAGACAAAATGTGAAAGGGCCAAAGACATGTGATGTGATCTTTTGCAACACACTGTACCTCTACTGTGTGTCTCCAAAGAAAGCAAAAAATGTGCAAATTATTGTGACGGTGATCTAAAGGTTCTGTAGGAGTGTTAGAGAAAGAGTTATGGATTTGTTTTAGTACAAATAATATCAGATCACAGGAAAGTTCCACAGTATTTTATAACCCAAAATCATTTTTATGAAGTACAAAGTAGCGTCTTTTACAAGGAATGTCTGCAGACTTCTTGGATCTTTTTTCTTGAAAATCCACATCAGCCATGCAGTATCACTATAATCAGAGTCACCCAGAGCAACAGAATGTTCCAGTTTTACATATTTAGTCACAGGAAAGAAACCACTAAGAGGGAGAGATTAGAGATAGACATCTCTTTACCTCCAGCCTTCTCCCTACAGGACCTTATGCAAACAAGGAATAGAGTAAATGCACATGGATCATGATGTGATAAAGGTTAGTTAAAAAGTGGCCATTATTCACATCATGAGGAAATCATTGGCTTTTGGTTTTCATGGTATAGAACTGGAAAGTGAATGACACCTTTAGGAGATGTATGCATTCCTTAGTTCCTGTTTTTTAAAGATTCTTATTTCAGTTGGTTCTGATGTGTTTATATATTTCTTTTATCAAATACACTTTGCATTACTCTTTATGCGAGTAGTCCACTAGATATAAACATTTTCAGCATAAAATGAAATACATCTTTGATTTACAGAGTAAAATGAAACAAATAGCCTGACTGTGTTCCCTCGTGTTGTTTACAATGGAGAACACATGAAGTTTGGTCAGTATGACCCTGACCCACAGCAAAGCTACCTTCATATGCCTCAGTTTGATATACCTTTAATAATTGCTCAGGGGTGAATTGTTCATCTGTTTCCCAAATAGCAACAAGGAAAAAAAGCAGCAGGATTTTATACCTAGGTGAAATTTTAAACAAAACTGAATCAAAGTCCACAAAAAGTCCATTGTTTTTCTCAGAAGCAATAAATGCTGCTTCTGAGGGAAATACCATTTTTTAGGAGTCTGTTGGCTTTGCAGTTTGCAACAACATTAAATCTTATGTGTATTTATTTTAATCAAACCTTTTACAGTTAGTCCTGTGCATATTTTCTACTTCAGACCTCACACATGCACTACATTATTCTCTTATAATGTAAATTTCATGATCAATTGGTCATATTTCTTTAACATTTGAGAACTTTTTCATTTAAAAGATGTTGTAGTTATTAATTCTGTAATTAATATGGTACAGTCAAGTCAGCACATCTTTCTTTATGCAACACACACTTATGAAAACAAACATGGATTTTCTTAGCATAAAATTCTAATAAAACCTACTCATCTACAACTATCCTCATAAGAAAGATTTATTCTTATTTAGATGCTTACCAAAAATACCTGCCTAAGATTGTGTTATTTAAATTCATTCTGCTGTAGGACAATGTGGCCAAATACACAATGATTACTAGTAACAGTGCAAGGAATAGCAATAATTCTTGGAAGCGGAAGTTTCATGTAGAGGCTGGAAGTGAACATAATCAAGTCTGTCTCAGATAACATGGAAAGAAAGAAGGATTTGAGTAATCTAATTACACTGAAGATCTGTAATTAGATTTTCAAAAACTTTAAGACAACCAATGCACTGAATTTCCTCAAAACCTCTCTGCTAGAAAATTAATTATAGATAGATCGATAGATACACAAAAAATGAATAAAACCAACTGCACACAGACAAATGCAACCATTTTATTATAAAATTTTACAACTATGTGCGGTTTTCTCATGAAAATTAATATTTCTAGAACATTTGTAATATATTATCTAGACCCTGTCAGAGTTGATCAGTGCCCCTTCAACACAATAATCAGATATAAACACAAAGCAACTAATATTGTATGGATGAGAATCTCATTGGATGCATTTTTCTGTTGGGTATCTTTTACAAAGCCCTGCATGTCCAGGGCCTTTTGTTTTCTTTTCTGAAGTTTTAAGATCATTGATAACACAAAATATCTACATGTGCTGCTCAAATACTTTGCTTTTCTCATTGGTCCCAAAATAAATAACACATGTTAAAACACTTAGAGTGAATGATGATGTCTGTGGTGACAAAGTATTTATAAAAAGATGAAAGAAGTCCAGTCTTCCCAAATCTTTTTGACTGATAATTTATTCAACGAGCATGCTTGGGAGTGTAAACTTGCCTCTTTTAAATCTCTGCATTCACAGGATACCAAACAGAAGTATAATGAACATACTAGTAACAGGATTCATCCTTCACCCTAATACTGAAAACCCAAAACATTTATCACCAGGCAGAAGCATCTTCCAATCTGACCTCACACTAATTAGATTTTAGAAATTTTGGGTTCATTTTACCTGCTTATTCATCTTCTTATCATTTTGGATTTTGCATTATACCACAAATGATTTGAGAAACTATACTAGAATTGTTAGCAAACTTCAAAAACCAACTCAGTTTATAAACCAGTCAGAGATATTTCAAAAACAACACTAAAGTTATGTATTCGGTAGACTTGTATGTCAGTTTTGGCACTGCAGTTACTGATTATTATTATCTATGATGCTAATGACAACCTCATGTCCCTAATGATGGATATGTAAACACTGCAAACAGGTTCAGACTGCTAAGAGGAATGCAGTGGAACAATCATTTTAGACATATGGGGGAATATAATATAATCTGGATACTGGAATATATGCAATTGACTTGTTACGGAAAAAAGTCAAAACCACAGCAAACAACTGAATGAATGTTGCTGGAAAATGTGAAAAAAAATCTATAGAAGAAAATCAAATGTTCTTCTTCTTTTAGCTTTGGAACGCTTGCATTTTTTTTGTCATCTAAATAAAATCTACAACGCTGAAGCAGCACAAAATATAATTTTGCAATTCACTCAACAAATAGAACATTTTGACAGGCCTTTTTGAGAGTAGCGTACATTGATCACAACATAGAAAACACAAGATAAATAGGCTCAAGTTCTATTGACACATTGAACAATAATGTATCTTTGATATAGATGATAGCATTCTGTTTCTTTTAAGGGGTCATATGAGCATAAAATGCAATTTAATAAATTCAAAATAATACCATCAACAATTATATAAATAAATAGCTCCATTGCACAATCCTACCCGCCCTTCCTCCATCATGTATGTTGCATGGTCAGTCCAGCATAAACAATAAATATAGTATAATGCTGATTGATAGAGTAGCAATGTTACAATTACAAAATATATACCCTTTTAGAAAATGCCAAAGGCTTGACAAGTGTTTTTTCCATTTATAATTTATGTACATAGACCTTGTTATTTACACCCATTTTGTGTGATTTTACAAATCATTCTGCAACACTGTCAATTGCATACGGGGGTCTAACAAAACTGAACAGTACCGGGTTCTTCTTGTTCAAGTGGGTTGCATGTTGTCATCCACAGCATTTGCTGTTGTCACACATTTAATTCAACCTTAATAGAAATAAAGACCAAGAAATAAAGGCCTTCCTTAACACCCCCAAAATATTTTTTTATGACTAAATGAAGGGACTTACATTCTTAACATGATT